CCCCAAAACCCCAAAACCCCAAAACCCCAAAACCCCAAAATAAAGAATTTTTATTGAAAATTTTTGAAAATGATTGAAAAAGAGCTAGACGAAAAATACAACAAACCAATGTTCCTAAACCCCAACGGACACTTAGGTACACCCCTCCTCACCTCTCTAGATCCTAAGATCACCAAAGACCTGCTTTCCAGCTGAAAAAGATCGCGTCAGCCCTTCTCGAGCTCCTTGAGCATATAAAATCCTTCCAAAGAGTGGTCATTCCTAAGAAAATTTATCAGAAGGCACACCAGTTTTACAGGAATTTATTAGAGAGTGAAAGCTCTGACCGCAGTGGAGCCTCCCTTAGTCGACTTACAATGAAGAATGATGAGAAGGTAAATGACTCTAAAATCTGTAGACAGATATAAATATCCCTTTATTCAGAGATCTTTGCTTAAAATAAGACAAAGCAAGAAGAATGGCTTCAGTAAGGCTCTCATAAAACTTTAGGAATATAAATAAATAACTCAAATCTCAATTTAAGAAAATAAAAATTTGAAAATACCCATGAAGAAGGCTATAAATTTTTTGAAGAATTTAAAAGACCTCAATGTAAGCCTTCAACTTCTGATACACTCTAGACAAACCAGATTGCATGAGACAGAAGTAATAATGGTACGCCTTAAAGGAGATAAGAAATAGTCACTAAGATCATCCCACATTTATTCCCAAAACAAGTGCGGAGTTCCTCAGTATTTAGTCAAAGAGGACCACCTAGACCTAGGAAGAATTCGATAAGTAAGTTAATTTCAAAACGTTTAGAAATTAATTTGCTTGCTAAATCACCAGGACCACCATTGCCACCTCAAGAGCCTAGACGATCTGTAAAGACTATGGTCAAAGCTTCGACTGCTAGAATAAGTCCTAAAAGATGGGTTGCAGAGAATCCGAAGAAATTCCTTGAGGTTCCTAGACCGTCTGAACTAAGAGTAAGTATTTTTATCACTAAATTCCAAATTGAGTGGTATAAAAACAGAGGCTCAGTCTTACACTCACGGCTTATGCCCTGTTATCTGGTCTCTCTAATATTTAATGTGGAGTTATATTACGGTGTGTATACTATTGGTATTTATTCGATATTTCCCTGACTCTGAAATTTTTAAGTAAAAATTTATTTCTACGGTGGATTTTGAAGAATCTTTGTGCTTAGAACATGCATGTTTTTATGGTCTCAAGTTGAATCCAGAAATCGAGAATAATCTTAGGCAAACTATGTAATCCTTAAAGAGCTGATAAAGAACTGGATCATGTTAGATTAAGTACCATAGAAGAGGATTTTAGGTTCGATTTTAATTTGTAAACGAATTAAATTTTAAGAAACAAAATAATTTCATTTAAAATTATTTAAATTATTGGTAAACTGTTTGATAAATTAAAATTTCTGGAATAATTCTTCTGGTTTATCATTGGATTGCTGGACTAAATAAGACGCATAATATTTTTAGTTCTTTATATACAATTTTATCGCTTAAAACCCCCTATAATCTCTAAAACCATGATCTAAACTCAAAATATACCAACTACCCCATATTTTTCATTTTAAACTGAATCTCCTTTCTCCTATACACCCTCAAACCACTCCTAACAAGCCTAAGCTTATAACGACATCTCCGAGTCTTAATTCTCTTCCTAAATTTCTACAAAACTTAGCCTTTTCAGAGCATTAAATTAAGCAACTGGACTGCCACTTTTGGCATAAAATTTGATAAAATCTATCAGTAACAGCCAAGTGTTTTATACTAAAAAAATGTGCTTTTTATCCGGATAGATCTCTTGTTGGTCCATATCTGATGTGTTTATAGGATCCTTTGAGTCTGAAGTCAAATAATTTTGTGAAAACTAATTTGAAAACAGCAATAGAACAGGTTCATGAAGCTTATTGAAGGAATAATAGAGATTTGAAGGTGAGGAATAATAATTATTTACAAGAGTTTACAATTTAGTTTGTGAGGAATGGGGTTTTGGGGTTTTGGGGTTTTGGGGTTTTGGGG